CAAAGTTGGAAGAGACTTATTGCTAGCATGTTGGGCACAAAATGATGTTGGGGTGGGTGGATGGGTGTATAGTAGCTCAAGAACCAGATAAGTCTTAGACAAATTGTGGTATGCATTAGTGGAAGGTATATGTACCCCAAATAATTTCAAGTATTTTTGCAATCATCAGTAATGAAGCTACTTCTATACAAATGTACAGAAATGACAAGAATTAGGAAGTTTGAAATCTCAGAAGCAAGGCTGAGGAATTAACACAGCTGAACGTCCCAGTTAAGCAACCCAGGTCAGTACTGACCCAGTACTGATGTCATAAATGTTTCCTCATGATATATTTAAAGTGGTATTTATTATATCCCTAGTGTGTACCTGATAATACTTCTTTTTCCAAAATTTTTAAAAAAATTTTATTTTCAGATCCATGTTCTCTCTCTTCTGTCTCCATTCCTCCCTGCTCCCAAATCCAGTTGAGAAATCAAGAAAAATAAAATCTCTGTTACTAACATTGTATAGTCAGGCAAAACAAATTCCTGCTAGTTGTTGTTTAGTAATTCAATTGTATCCAAGTCTATATGACTTTATGGACATTGTCCATGGGGTTTTCTTGGCAAAGATACTGGAGTGCTTTGCCATTTCCTTCTCCAGTGTGTCTCCATTTTACAGATGAGGAACTGAGGCAAATAAGGGTTAAGTGACTTGCCCAGGACCACACAGCTAGTAAATGTCCAAAGCCAGATTTGAACTCAGATCTTCCTGACTCCAGACCCAATGTTCTATCCACTGAGTACCTAACTGCTCTTAAAATTCCTGCGTAGGCCAGGTTAAAAAAATACATCAGCGTGCTCTCAAAGTTCATCATCTCCCTATTAGGAGGGTAGGTAATATGTTTTATCATGAGTTTTTTGGAATTATAGCTCGTCATTGTGTTTATCAGAGTTCCCAAGTTTTTATCTAAGTATTTATCTTTCCAATGTTGTTATTATATAAACTATTTCTTGGTTCTACTCACTTCATTTTGTATCAGTTATACAAGTCTTCCCATGTTTCTCTGAAACCGTCCCCTTCATCATTTCTTTCAGTACAGTGGTATTCTATCATGCTCACGTATCACAACTTGTTCAGCCATTCCCCAATTAATGGGTACCCTCTCATTTCCCAATTGTTTCCCACCACACAAAAGTGACTATAAGTATTTTTGCACACATGGATCCTTATCCTCTTTCTGTGATCTCTTTGGGGGTATAGATCTAGTAGTGGTATTTCTGGGTATTCACAATTTAATGATTTTTGGAGCATAGTTCCAAATTACTTTCCCGAATGTCTGGACCAGTTCACAGTTATGCCAGCAATGCACTGATGTGCTTATTTTCCTACAGTCCCTTCAGTATTTATTTTCCTTTTTTTGGTCAGTTTTGCTAGTCTGATGGGTATAAGATGGAAGCTCAGGGTAGTTTTAATTTACATTTTTCCAATTAGTGATTTGGGCTGTTGATAGCTTAGATTTCTTCTTCTGAAAATTACCCATTCATATACTTTGACCAATTTATCAATTGGGGAATGGCTCTTATTTTTACAAATTTGAATTTGTTCCCTGTGTATCTTAGAAATGAAAGCTTTATCAGTGAAACTTGCTGCAGAAATTTTTCTCCATATTTCTTCCATTTACCAAAATATTTTCTAATTTTAACTTTATTGATTTTGTTTGTGTAAATTTTTTTTAAATTTTGAATAATCTGACAATTCTTAATATCACAGGCTTGAGGGATTAAAAAGATAACTTTGTCAAAGAATCACAGAATTAGAACTGGAAGGGCTCTCCAAGGTCATCTTTCCAAAATCTCCAATTGCCTTTTCAGTAAGGTTGTATCATCCTGGAATATGTTATGTTTTGGGAAAAGTTTACTGTTTTACTGGAAATAATGCTTTGAACAAGATTGTTGCTAAACATGAGTACATAGCCTTAACACTTTCACAGTTTGGAGAGACAGATGCTTTATTACAAAAAGACACTGAAAATGCAGAAAGGCATCTGGTTAGTGTGGAGACACAGTTCCTCCAAAATGAAACACTTGTCAAGCCAAGGGTTTATACATGCAGAAAGTCGACTGTCTCTTGCAGATCTAGCCTCTCCAAATACATCTCCATTAGATGATGCAATCAGTGAGCCGTCCCTGCTATCAGATAGAGAATCATTTTTATTTAGAGTTTTTTCCTTGTGTAATCTAAACCTGGAAAGAAGTGGTGGGTGCTTTATAGTAAATAGCAGACACTTTTACCAAAAGAATTGAAAATCATTTAGCTAGAAAACATTTCGGATGCAAAAAAGGTCTCAGTGACCTGTTTTTCTTTCTGCCAGCAATAAAAGCTGTTTCAGGAGGCATTTTAAATGAATTTAAAATATTAAAACCAGAAAAATATGTATGTATCCTTTGAATGTTTCTAATTCCAATTGTGGTTAAATTTTTATTTTACTTAATTTTTCCGTATGCTTTCCCAGCAATTCATAGTGGCATGTATGTTCCTTCTTCTTATCCTTGTAACAATATTCTTAGCAGGGACGTGTAAGAAAGCCTGGTGGACATGCTTGTCACGTTTGCAGATGATACAAAGGTGGGAGGGGTGGCTGAGAGGTGTCAAAGACGAGATTTTAAAAGTTTTAATAGGTTGAAGCTAATAAGGTAAAATGTAATGAATGAGTAGAACCAGGAGCTAGTTTATATAATAACAACTTTGGAAAGATAAATAACTTTGAAAGACTTAGGAACTTTGATAAACACAACGACCATCCAAGTTCCAAATTCCAGCCTATACTTGGAAAACAATCAACCGCACAAATACAGGATAGGGAAAGTGAGGCTAGACAGCAATTCATATGAAAAAATGGAGAGGTTTTAGTGGATTCAAAGTTCAGAATGAGTCAGTGCTGTGACATGGCGATCTCCAAAGCTAACAAGGTCTGCGGCTGTGTGCTAAGAAAGAGAGAATATCCAGAACAAGGGAAGTGATAGTCCCTGTAGGGGACAGCCCTGGTCAGGACATATCTGGGATATTATGTTCAGATCAGGGCATCCGGTTTTGGAAAGGACTTTGACAAGCTGGAGTGTATCAATAGAAGGATGACCAGGTTGGAGATGGGACTGAAAACTGTCGTATAAAGATAATTTGAAGACTCTGGGAAGGTTTAGCCTAGAGAAATGAAGGCGATTTTGTTGTTGTTGAGTTGTTTCAGTCATGTCCGACTCTCTGTGACCCCATTTGGGGTTTTCTTGTCAAAGATACTGGGGTGGTTGGCCATGTCCTTCTCCAGCTCATTTTACAGATGAGGAAACTGAGGCAAGCCTACTTAATCCTGGTTAAGTAGGAATGACATAATAGCTGTCTTCAAGTACTTTAAGAGCTTCTATATGAAACAGGAATTAGATGTGTCGTTCTTAGATCTTGAGGATCAAATTAGGGGGTTATAAAGACACAGATTTAAATTTGATATTTAAACATTTTTTCTAATTTTTCAGAAGTTAGTATGTCCTTGTCATGAGAAATTTTCAAGTAAAGACTAAATAACTAGTTTTTAGGATGATGATGTTGAAGAGAACTTTTCTTTTTAGGTGGAGGTTAGGCTAAATGACTTCATTTGTTGTTTAGTCATTTATCAGTCACGTCCGTCCCTTCTTGACCCCATTTGGGGGTTTCTGGGCAAAGATCCTGGAGTGGTTTGCCATTTCCCTAGGTACTAGGTACAGAGACATTCCTAAGTAAGTGTATGCTCAGGCTCAGGTTTCTTTAATTGAATTTCCTGGCCCAAGGGCAGGAAATAGTCTCATTGCCTGAAACTTCACTGAAGTTGGTGGTGAACATTTCCTTTTTGTTGTTCAGTAATTTCAGTAGAGTCCAACTCTTCATGACCCCCTCTGGGGTTTTCTTGGCAAGACACTGGAGTGGTTTGCTATTTCCTTCTCTAGCTCATTATACAGATGAGGAGACTGAGGCAAACAGAGTTAAGTGACTTGCCCAGCATCATACAGCTAGTAAGTATAAGCAAGTTTTCCTGACTCCAGGCCCAACACTCTGTCCATTGCACCACCTATATGCCCTAATAAATTACCTCTAGAGGACTTTGTATCTCTGAGATTCTGTGGTTGTAGGATATATAGGTTTGGCTAAAAGACAAAAAAGCCTAAATCAGTGAACAGAACAGAGATTTGAATTTAAGTCTTTTTGATCTTACTCTCCCATTCTATCTGGTGGTTATGATAGTTGGTGGTTGTTATTCTATTTATTCTGGACTAACATTATGTTGCTACTAAAATGAGTAGCATTTCAACGTACACTAATTTACTAGTTAATTCATATCCATATTTGAATGTTAGTAATCCTTGAAAATGGCAGGCAGTTAATGCCACACAATGGAGCTTTAAGTTACACAAACTGGAAAACAAAACAAGATACTCTTCAGGGGGATTTGTGGTAGATCCTGAACTACAAGGGCTTTGGGACATGTCATAGCCTTCTTTTGTATTACTTGGAGTCCTTAATAGACAGCTGGAAGAAAGAGAATTTTAGAACCAGAAGGGACCTTTGGGATAGGCACTCCAATGAATCTCTACTGATTGGTTAATTTCCCCAATGACCTGTAGCAAAAGTAACCTATGCTTTTTCCATGTTAAGAGGGTGAAAAGGGAACAGCAAAGATTTTTCATCCGTGGAAATATTTTCTAGTGGCCTTGCATCGTAAGAATCTTCTTGATCTGATTTATTGATGAAGTCAAACCCTGACACCTGCAAAAGATTGTTAAAATTAAAAGAATTTTAATTAGGTCAATATTAGATAGGTTCAGAATATGGGTTTAAGCTTTATTCCCTGGAAATGTCACATAACAAAATAAATAATTGACAAATGAGTGCCGGCCAGAATAAAGGGAATAATTTTTGGCAGGAACTCATTTGTAATTTATTGGAGGATGCCTATTTGAGATGTCATATATTTGCATGTCTGTCATTTAAAGACTGCAGGAACTTCAACTAGAGGTCCTCAAACAGCTATTGAAGAAGCGTGAAGATGATCAAAATGAGGTGAACATAAATCGTTTAAATGCCCAGTGGTCTAAACTTCAGGAAGAAAAGGAAGACAAATTGTCAAAAATTAGACACACACATGTATCAGGTAATTTGTATCATAGGAAAGATCATGGAAATTGAAAAATTGGGTTGAAATAAGCTCTCAAATTGACTGTATAATTAAATATGCTGAATTTTTTTTTATCATCTTATTATACACAACCAGAAGTGGGAAATGAACAGTGGTTTATTGTTAAAAGCCAGAAAGGAGAAAAGGCAAAAATTCTAGAAAAATCCACTTACCTGGCAATCAGGTTGTTTAAATTAGTAGGTAAGAGCATAGTGGACAGTTCCCCACCATAGAGTTTCCCTCATTTTGGGGTACTAGAGTTCTAGATGATTGACCTTATCAGGTGGCAAGATCTGAGGTGAAGTTTGGACAATAAAGTGAAAGTAGACAATGTGAATCTTATGTTTTAAGTGTATGGCAGTGACTTTCTTCTGGCCACAGAGCAATCCTAAAAATATGCAACTGGGGCATTCTTTAACTCCCGAGAATAGGAATAGTCTTTCCATGCTATTAGGTTCTCTCAGCTCTTCTCTCAGGGAAGGATTTAAGCTCAATGTTGGAATTTATTTTGCATTCAGCTACTTCTGAAGCTACTGCTGTAGAATCAGACTAAGTAACATCCAACTTTTTACCAGCTGACTAGCCCATGAGGCTCTATATGGGCATAAACTCTAGTGAAAGGGAAGCATCCCTGAGACTTTCATTTTTTTATCTCCAGTGTATAGCATTCATAATATATGCTTAATAAATGTTTCTTGAATTCAGCTTTCACCACGTGAATACACTAGAAATCAGACTTCAGTTAGTTTCCAATGTGACTATGTGGTTTTGAATGCCATATGCACGACTTGCAGCATAGGATTGCAAAATACACTAACCTTAAGTATCAGTGTTTGTTTAAAGAAAAATAGATGTAGCTGAGATTGGTGTTGGACATTAAGCATAACATTGGACAAGAGCCTTGTTTAGTTTGGGAGCTGGTCTTTGGCTAAATTTAGATATAGTTTGTTAGGTTACTTCACCCTTTTAGAGCAATTTTTTGAGGCAATTTCCCATGTAGATGTTTTATATTTCAGCAATCAGAAAAATGATGATGAAGGGAAGAAATGTAGAGGGGAAATTTGAGAGAAGAAACATCATTAATGAATATAATGACTATGCATCTCAAGTCTATGGACCTCTTTCTCGATTGGGTCGCTTTCCAGACAGTAATTCAGAACGTTTTGTTGTCAAAAACCGTTTTCTTAACACCTATGAGGGTAAGTCATCATGAAAAATTCAATTCAATTACATCTATGTGTAATAGAGTAACAGATGTTTTCAACAAAATATAGGGGTATCACACTCAAAGGAGACTCAATGTAAGAAAGCCGTAGCTGTGGAAAGAATAAACTGTGAAAATTATTCTTTTAAATATACTGTTATTTTGAAGAACAGAAACTCTTGCTCAGGAAGAACTTAAAAATATATGCATCATGTGTACTAATAGAGTCAGTAACGACCCAAACCAAAGCTTATGAAGGAAACTATGAAGAAAAATGTGCTCCTGTAGAAGGGACAACTAACAGTTTGTGGGGGGTTTGGAGGGGCACTTTGAGGAGGTGGTTAAAAGATCATAGAGAACCTAGGAGAAGAGAGAGTCCTCAGTTTTTCTTAAAGGTGAATGAAGCAGAGGATCTCCTTATAAAGCTGCCTTGGGTTCACAAAGAACAGCTTGATTCTCTGTACCTGATGACTACAGAATGCGCCACCTCCAACTCTAGCCAATCTCACAGATTTTTGCCATTGCATTTGAAAGAGATCTGGCAAAAAACCAACCAAACAAATAAAAAACTGTAAAGAAACTCATACAGATCGGTCACCACTACTTAAAAAAAATTCAGAGAGCAAGTCCAGCTGACAGTGGATCAATAGTAATGATAATGAAGGCTCACATATGTAGTAGACTGACCCTCACTTCTTTTGAGTGATATAATAATAATGTTTCAGAGTTCTTTTTTTTTTATGTAAAAAATTTTAAGCATGACTTTTTTTTTTGGTGAGCCAATCAAGGTTAAGTGACTTGCCCAGGGTCACACATCTAGTAAGTATCAAATGTCTGAGGCCAGATTTGAACTCAGGGTCCTCTTGACTTCAGAGCCAGTGCTCTATCCACTGTGCCATCTATCTGCCCTAAACACGACTTTTTACATATTCTTAGTTCTTTTGATTTTTTCTTGTTTTGCTTTTTATTACATTCAAAATTGTTTATTATATAGAAAAATTCTTTTGATTTTTATTATATTCCCCATTGATTTTTTTTTTGGTGAGATTGCATCTTCAGTTTTATCATCATGGTAAAAGATGATTACATTTTTAGAAATTTCCTTTACTACCAACTTTTCAGGAACACTTGATCATATTAAATGACATTATGGAATCATATAGTCATAGAGTTGGAAGGAATCTTAGAAGTTATTTGCTCTGATATCTATGTGAAGCATGCATTCTCCTCTACATCAAACACTAATTTGAACACTTTATTTCCCCTTTCAGAATCATTCAAAATGAGGTGGTAAGAGAGTTTAATTCTTGAGAGCCTCAGGGGAAGACCTTGAATCAATTTCTCTTTTGGAGCCCCAGGCTTCAGGATCATAAGAGTCTTTTCTCTGAATTTTTTGAAATCTGCTTTCTTAATTAAAAGCTAGGATACACATCCCCAGAGTTCTTCTCTTTCACAAAAGCCAGGTAGTATGGTCACTCTAAAAATTTCATTTGTCCAACAGTTTCTTCCTATTGGTCCATATCAGTTTTGCCCCAACAAGAGTGGAGATGTGGCTTGGATCCCACAGAGTACCTCAGATGGTCTTGACAATTTGGGCCAAGGCAGAATCTGACCCAGACCCGACGTGCTGCAGGCTGACTGTCTTCCTGCAGTAGCTCTTGGGCCCATCCTCCAACTCAAACCCAATGCACAACCTCCTACCCTGGGGCCCTGGACTTCTAATTAGTGAGATAGATCCATCTAGCCAAAACCCACATCCAGACTCCTTTACTGGCCTCCCACCATCTAAATGCTCTGCTGCTGGGCTGGTCCTCTTCTGCATGCCTCCCTCTTCCAACTCTTCTTTCCGCCTCCCTCTCTATAACTGTAATCACATCAGTATTACATTCATGAAGAGGATATCTCTGTGACTGCACCCCCAGCACTTAGGCCAGTGCTTGAGACACATAGTAAATGATTAATATTGATTAATAAAAATGATTAATCATTCACTTGAGGCCTAGTAATACCAAAAAGACGTATCCGAGGGAAGCAGGGTTGTCAAGTAAATGGGCTAACAAGAAGTAATAGATAGGAAGAATTACTACAGAACTGGAACCGGGAGTCAGACAAGAAGAGATTGATCATATAGAAACCAAGAATGAACCCATCACACTAGAAAACTAAATCTGCACGCTCAAGGGGCTGTGTCCCATAGACTATTCTGAAAGACTGGCCCCACTCCCACTCAGGAGTGTGCCTCTTAATCTTATGCAGCTACATGGGTGATGATGCCAGATACCCTTTTTTCTACCTTCATCAAAATGAAATTATCAGCAAAGCCAATTGCCAGCATTTATCAGCAAGGCCTTTCATAAGTTGACTCACTCCTATGTTTCCAGTCTCTTTACACTGCCACACTTCTACACTCATCCTTGCATATTTTTTTTTCAGGGGGAGACAATTGGGGTTAAGTGCCTTGCCCAGCGTCGCACAGCTAGTAAGTGTATGAGGCCAGATTTAAGCTCAGGTCCTCCTGACTCCGGGGTTGGTACTCTATCCACTGTGCCACCTAGCTGCCCCTTTCATGTACTCTTTGGTCCAGTGACACTTGGCTCCTTGATTTTTTTTCAAACAATACATTTCATCTTCCAACCCTGAGCATTTTTCCTGTCTGTCCTCCATGCCTAGAAGTCTCTCTCTCCTCATCTCTGATTCCTGGGTTCCTTCAAGTCCCAGCTAATAACCCACCTTCTGTAAGAAGCCTTTCCTAGTTTCTGTTAAAGCTCCTACCTTCCCTCTGAGATCGTCTCCAATTTGTCCTGTACACATCTTGTTTGTACATAGTTAATGTAAAAAACTTAGCAAAGGCTAACTTCCAGTGCCAAGTCCTTTTGGCCCAGGCCATCTCCCCAACTCTGGCTTCATTTTTCCATACCCAGCCTTGACTCCATAGCTGGCCTTTTAATGTTTTATTAGCTAGCTGCCTCCATTAAAGCAGAGGATCATAGCTTTAGAGCTAGAAGGGATTGTGGTCCTTCAGACTGCTTCCTTGCTGCCTCTCTCTGCCCCCTTCCTTGAAGCAAAGCACCATAACCAGTGGTAGGTGGGTGGTGGGGGAAGGGAGGAGGAAAATCTCCTCTCCCATCTCCCCCACCCCAGAAAGAGAAGAGCAGATGCTTCTTGCTTGGTTGCCATCTCTTGCTTAGCTCAGGTATAGTCCCTGAATGTTTGGTGTTTAGTAAGCTAATTTTTAAAAAAGCGACCAGAGGCATGGCCAGTCTTCTTCCTTTCTAATTCTGTCAAGGAGAACTTGATGGAATAAATAGGGTAGTAGCATGCTAGTACTTTGTTAACACATTGACATTTCATACCTTCTGTTACCTTCTTTATTTTCTGAGATTACCTAAGTCTTTACACTTAGTTTAACACCTTCTTAATTACACTTACTTCCCAAACTGGGAGAAATTAGTTGGTCATTGTGATAGGTGCAAAATCCTAAGGTCCTGTCCTACTGTAGGTTAAACTAGTTTTTCTTTACAAGGTATCATAACCACCCTCAAGACTTAAATCATGAGATTAAAGGATTAGGCTGTTAATATGGATTCCAGGTGCCCTTGGTACAAAATTCCCAGGTCTCAAAAGAGTCGGCAGCAACTCCCTCACCCTTCTGATCAGCTGGCAGGGACCATACAGTGGCCCAGAAGCTATGCCAAGTTGAATCAAAGTGACATAACTTGCTGAATAATTATCATTTCCCTATCCTGTATATCCTTCCCCAGCTATGGATAAGTAAATCTCCTTTTGTTCACTGCCGGATATTCTAAGAGTGTTCCTAATCTCCATCCTGAATTAGCTGAGTCAGGCCTGGCCTATTGCAGTTGGGGAGCAGCTCTCTTCCCTTCCTCCACCTCCTCTCCTTCACATTTAAGCATTTTTTTCTCCCCTAATTCCTAGCACGGTGTGATGTGCACAGAGGATATTAGTTAATAATTATTTATTCAGTGAATGTTATATCAAAAACCTTCTTTTTCATATCTTTTTTCCTCCTAGGATTACTTGAACTTGAGGCCTCCCTCCCAGATTTTGTAACACAGCCTCGGATCAGAGCTCCAAAACCTAAAGTGATCACCACAAAGAATAAATTTCTTAAAAGGTCAGCAAGAATGGATCTTGAGTTAGCTGAGGTTCACCAGGTATAAAGCAGTCACTTTTTCTTTCCTTACCAAGAACTCTTAATTACCCATAGAGCTAGACTATGATGTAGCCTGTGTAGTTCATGCATTTGGTGACGCCAAATGATGATGGCATTCCGTAGTAAGATCAGAATGTGATAACTCTCACAATGGAAGATGTAGCCAGAGACCAGTTAGTATGCAGCTGAAGGTATGCTGTGTTTCAGGACCTGGGGTGGGAGTGGGGATTGGGGTGGAGGGAGGAGCGAGGAGTGAGAAAGGTGCTACTTGGCAAAGCAGAATTTCTAAAGGATCAGAGATTTAGAGATAAAAGCCACCTCAGAAGTCATCTAGTCCAACCCCCTTATTTTACAAAAGAGGAAAAGAGAAGTGAAATCCATTCCTCTAGGTTACCGAGGCAGTAGTAGTAAGTGAGGGAGTCAGGGATCCTTGTTTCTCTGGGAAGCAAGAGTACAATTTTGTTGTGGACTGTTGCTCTCTGGGTGAAGTTTCTGAAGATACAAAACTCTCTTGTTCTGTTGGCTTTCACCATACTTCTTGTATTTCCTTCACAAAGTAGCATCATCTCCTTGGAGGCTTTCCCTAATCAGAAGAGTAGTCTATATTTTCTGAAAGATAAAAAAAAAAATTATGGTTGGGGAGTGGGAGGAAGAAGGTGTGGGATAACGGAATAGGAAATAGGGCTAAACTCTAAGCCTTTGTGTTAAACTACATTTTTTCACCTTTAATTGGGTGTCTTATAGTGAAGCTTTAGTACATTTTGTTTACCATTAGTTTTAATTATCCTGTTTTGCTTGACAGTATACATGTTTCCTAAGCAAAGAGGAATCTTCTTTACCCCTCTCCACCTGGTTTAAGCTCAGGTGAAGAGGAGGGTCTGTTGACCACTCTTGTGAATAGTATCAGTCATCAGTAGCACTTTCTGTATAATCACTATTTTCAGTCATCAGTAGCACTTTCTGTATAATTACTACTTTATGAACATAGGAAACTCAGAGTTTCAGTGAAAATGATTAGGGTGTGCTTTCAGATCCTATTTCCATCCTACATCAGTGTCTGACTCTTTTGGACTGCATACCTAGGATTCTTTTTCACAGTATCACAGCAGATGTTTGGGGTGGGGGGGGAAGGAAGTTGTTTCCTTAATTACATATGAATTCATTAAAGACAAGTTGTTTGGAGATTATGCTGCTTTCTAAAAGGAATCAGGCAATCAGCGAGCATGTTTTAGATGATTTATATCCACAGCACTGGGATGCCATTGGCAATAAAAATGCAGAAGTGGAAACAGTCCCTGCCCTCAAGATGCTAACAGTCCACCTAGAGGACACAACACGTACAGATGTAGGTGTATACAAAACAGAGGGTGGTTTAGGGAGAAGGTACTAGCAGCTGGTAGAATCAGTAAAAGACTTATGTAAAAGGTGGAACTTGACCTGAGTCTTGAAGGAATATATGGTTTCTGAAAAACGAAAGTGAGAAGAGAGTACATTCCAGGCATGAGGGACAAGGGCCCAGAGTTGGGAGATGGCATATTTGTATGGGGAGCTGCAAAAAAATAAATAAATAAAACCAAATTGGCGGGATCTTAGTGTATGTGGTCCAGTAATATATTCTTTTCTGTAGTTTAGTTAAGTATGTTATAAGAGGACTCTAGTTTAGTATGTTTTGTTGCAGTAAAGGCATATTTTTATATTGAAATATTTGTTCATATCATATTTGTAGATAAAATAGTATTAGTCAGCCATTACTGTTAAAATACTAGGTTTCTTATATAATTGAAATCATAGGTCTGGTTCCTGTCCTTATCCCTTTCTGACCTCCCCCTCTCTCCATGTACACACAACCTGTTAGGAAGAATCTATAGAAATTGTATTATTTTCTGAAAGATAAATATGGGTGGTTAACTAGAGACCTGCATTAAACCACATTTTCTCCTATGACTAGGTAGTTAGACTGTAGGTAATGCATTACATGTGTCATTAGTTTAAATGGTCCTCATTTCCTCTTGTCCTACCTTAAAGACAGAGGAACCTTTTTCATGGTCAGATCCTACTTGATTTGCCCTCTTCTGTCCTCTACCACTTTTTTTTTTTACCTTTCAGAAAGTTTTGCATCTACTGTGAAATCAACATGTTTGTACTTTGAAATTGATCAAGTCATATCTTTTGACCTTAATTATTGGAATAATTTTAGTATGTAAATCTAGTGTACCAAATTAGATTTGGCTCTGATGAGCCCCTTTGGTATGGAGGTGACTTGAATTTTCCAAGGTTATGCCAGTGGAGTCCAAGCTTTGGCCAATGTCACCAGCCCAGAAGATTATTCAGTCACAGACAAGGCTCTGTGTCTCATCTGAGGACCAATTTAGCCAAATTTGGCTCATTATCATGAAGTTGGTCATCAGATAATTTTTTGGTTGTAGCAATTCGTGAAACAATTCACTAAAGTATGCAATCAAAACATGAGCAAGAAATGAAACAGGTGAGAGAAAATAATTCATATTATAAACAATGCTTTGGGTATCAGAAAAGGCATGATACTGGTTTTCTAGTGAAGGCTGCAATGCAAGAGATTCAGAGGAGGCCAGTAACCTTATATATCCCTCAAAAAAATTAACAATTATGACACCAAAGAAAAGAAAAATTACAACAAAACACATACTTGCGAGAGAATAAAATTCAGCTAAAACAATTTAAAAAATAGTGAAGAACACCTATTATTAAAAAAACAACAACACTACAGAGTAACTGAAACAGAAAAAGGATAGAAGCATAGAAAGGGACAGAGCTGGAGATACTCCATGAGACATCCTCAAATGGATACATGTTTAAAGGGATTAAGAAAGAATTAATCCTGACAAGAACTTCCCAGGAGTTAGTAAAAGAGGAGCTTGTAGAAAACAGAAGATCACAGGAAGAACTGAAGCTAGAATGACAGGACAAGAGCAGAGACCAGGCCCTGCCAAGGCAGGTGCTGCCCAGAGCACTGAGAAGTTAAGGGAGTTACCCAGAGTCATGGAGCTAGTATGTGTCAGTGGTAGGACTCGAACCCAGGTTCTCCTGGATCAGCTTTATTTCAAATACTAGATTTTTAAAACTGTAAGGAAATTTAAACAGCGACTAATATGGACCACATAATGGAAAGCCTTAAAGAATCAATAGATAAAATCAACAGCAGACCTTATTGTAGCAGAAAACAAAATTGTAGACAATAAAGGCCAACTGGAAAAACATGATCTGAAAATAATTGAATTATTAAATGATCTAGAAAACATGCAGACTCAAGTGACAGCCCTGATAGGTCAAGAAGTAGCCATCTCAATTATTAACAACCCTGAAAATTTAAAGGGGGAAGAAAAAGCCTAAATGCTGTATTGTAAGAAATCATTCCAGAAAACTTTCTAGATGAACAAAAACCAGTGCTAATATAGTCACACAGAAAGAATTGGCAGGACCTTTGAGAAGAAAAAAAAAACCCGAGATTCAGTTCTCCTAGACCCAGTAGAGTTAAATTTCAGCATTATAATATGGTAACAATTCTGTAATCTGTAAGAGGACAGACAAAAATAACATACCAATGTATTCCAATCAGAATTACAATAGAGTTCTCAAGGAAGACAAGGAGCTACACAGAGAAATTAGAATATAACATATATGCAAATAAGCATGGGCCATGAACCCAAAATTATCTACTGAGCAAAACTTAGTTTGCTATATGAAGGTGAGAGAGAACATTGAGAAGAATGTTGACTTTAAAGAGAGATATGTACAATTCAATGAACAACCAGTCCTCCAAGCCAAAAAGATAAGTATTTGAAACAATACATACTTAATCAACATCCATGTAAATCAGTTTGCTAACAAAATGTAAGAAGCTTCAGACTATTAAATGGGCTAAACTACTCAATGTTTTAGAATGCTGTTTCAGGTAGACCAAAAGAAAAATGAGGTAGTGTCCTAGTCAACATGGTACTCAGTGGAAAGAACTCTGGAGTCAGAGAACTTGGGATCAGATTCCACCTCGGATGCTTATTAATACTCATGGGAACCTTGGCAGGTTACTTTACTTCTCAGCCTCAGTTTCCTCATCCATAAAAAAGAGGGGGTTGAACTGGATGACCTCTGAAGGTCCCTTCCAGCTCTAGATCTATGATTCTGTAATCTAGGGTAATCCTAAAGATAATTACTTATCTATAAGAAATGGGAAGTGTAAATTACTAGGAAACTAAAGAATTTTGTTTAGCTTGGTTTTCTGAAGTTTGGATTAATAAGAATAAAAAGGCTTATAGTCACTTTAAATAGATTCCATAACAATCCAGAAAAGTGATAGAAAAAAAATCTAATAATTTTAATGCTAAATAAAAATGGACAGAGCTCTTTAATAAAAGAGAATGACAATGAATTTTAAAATGGATTCCAGCAATTTTTATAGGAGTCTATTTTGACATTATTTTGTAGGGTTTACTTTATAACTACCCTGGAGAATAAATATGCTGATGGGATCTGGTTATATCAGAGAAGGACTAAAATAATGAATAAAATTACATATTTTATTTCAGGCACTTCTGGATAAGAAGAGGAGAGGTCCTGAGCCAAAGAAAAAACTCTTCTTCCTTCAGAAAAAAGTAATACCATCACCTCGACTTTCAACACCAGCCTTGGAAATGTGTTCTTCTGTAAGTTAGAAATACTTGCTCTTAATTAGAAATTCAATAACATTGTTATTTAAGATGGAAAACTGCCCTCTCCCCTATTTACCAGTATTCCTGTACTCCAGCCCTGATTTAATTAATACTTTCTTTCTTGTTAAAAGTTAAAATATCCAAACTTTTCAAGAAGGAATAAATGAAAAATACACCTAAAGAAAACTGAATTTTTGATATACAGCCTTCATTTAGTCTTAATGCAGGAAGACTGATAAGTGACGTAATTACTGTCATCAGATGTACACAATTGAACAGGGACCGAGAGCAGACTTGTTCAGTCGTTTCATTCGTGTCCAACTCTTCGTTACCCCATTTGGGGTTTTCATGGTAAAGATACTAGAGTGGTTTGCCATTTCCTTCTCCAGCTCATTTTACAGATGAGGCAAACAGGGTTAAGTGACTTTGCCCAGGGTCCCACAATTAATAGGTGCCTGAGGCCAGATCAGAACTCAGGAAAGTGAGTCTTCCTGACTTCAGTCCCACATTCTATTCACCACGCCTGCAGCTGCCCTAGCAGACTACTGGCAGCTAGATAGAACACTGGGCCTGGAGTCAGGAGGACATGAGTTCAAATTTGACCTCAGACACGTACTGGTTGTGTGACCCTGGGCAAATTACTTAACCTTGTTTACTTCAGTTTCTTCATCTGTAAAATGAGCTAGAAGAGAAACGACAAACCATTCCAGTATCTTTGCCAAAAAAAACCCAGGTGAGGTCTTAAAGAGTCAGACGCAACTGTAATGACTGAACAACAAAGTACCGGACTATTTTCAGTGAAGACAGAAGAAACTATAAGCTGAAAGGAAGCTGTAAATTGTGTGCTGTTAGCTGTGAGAAAGGAATTACTGAGAGTTCAGCTCAATTCAACAAGCATTTTCTTAATGCCTCTTGTATGCAAGGCACTGGGGACTAATTCAGAATTACCCCGGGGCATATACACCCGGTACTAGATTGTGAAAGGCGTTCTTTCTACCTCAAGCTGAGGCATTTGTATTTTATCTTGGAGGTAATTGGGAACCACTGAAGATTCCTGAGCCAGGGGAATGACATGGTAAAATGTATTTTAGGAAGATCATTTTGTCAGTTGTATAGTGCTAGATGGAATGGGTGGAGAAAGATTAAGCTGAGGAGGGTCTTTAATAGTCCAAGGAGGGAGGTGTGCTGGCCTGAACTCAGGTGGTGTCTGTGTGAATGCAGAGAAAGGGGCCAATGTGAGGGACTTTGTGGAAGTCACATTGACGAGATTTGGCAGCTGATCAGAGAAGAGAGAAAAGAGTTGAGGACAACTTGGAAGGTATGAACCTAGGTGACTAAAAGGGTGGGGATTCCAGCAATAAAAAGAGAAGATGTTGAAGAATGAGTTTATGGTAGAATTTCAAAGAGTTATGTTTAGATGTGCTGAGTTTGGGATGCTAGTAGGATATCCAGCTGGAGCTATCTCTAGCAAGCTTTGGTGATGTGGGTCCGGAGCGCAAGAGGCTGCTTGTAGAGATGTGGGAGCCATCTTCATAGAGGTGATGATTGAAGCCTTGGAAACTGAAAAGACGGCCAGGAGAGAGGAGATACAGGGTGTCAACCTATACCCAGAGCTTTGGCCTAGGAAACAAACACAGTCAGGGTCCCCCCCTTAACCAGAGGCTTGTTCAAAAGGAACAAACAGAATGGGGTTCACCTTTGACCAGAGATTTGATCAAAGGACAAACAGTATTAGTTTCTATGCACATGTTTATTTCTCTCAAAGCTGAAGATGTATATGAGTCCATACATGGGAGTCATAAGAATGAGCTCAAGGAAAGAACAGTTGAAGAGGACTTTACATCCTCAGAGCAATCCCACCTCTCCTCCTGACTCAGGATGGCAGTGTCGGCCAAAATTAGAGTCGCCGTATTTGTCAGCCTTAGCAAGGAAAGAACAGGAATGTCTTAATAGGAGAAAGTCATAAAACAGGGATGTCCTAACAGGATAGTGTCCGTAAATACCAAGAGAAGAAGAGCCCCATTATTCAAGAAAGTGTCTGGTTCAAGGTGCCTGCTTTTGTCAGAAGAATGTTCCCAGTTAGCAAAATCCAGAAGGAGAGTTTGGGTTCACTCAGAGAGCAAAGCAAAGCACGTCTGTTATGCCAGAGCAGCTCAGAGGGGGCCAGAAATGTCTTCCTCCTGACCGACCGGGTTTAGGCCTTTCTCAGGTGAAGGGGCTGAAGCTGGTGTGGGGGGGCAAGCTGGTCTACAAGAGTAAAGAGAAGAGTACTCAAAATAAAGGCTTTGGAGAGAATGCTCACAGTTAGGAGATGGGAAAGATTGCTGATGATCCTTTCAAGGGGATGGAAGAACAGGTAGATAGGAGGAACACTGGAAGAGACCAGAGTCACACAAGCGTCGGGAATGGAGGAGAGGGGAGGATGGTCAGTATTGTCAGAAACTCGGGAGAGGTTAAGAAGGATGAGGACAGAGAAAAGGACAACTTACGGAGCCTTAAGTGATTATGGGTCATCTTAAGGAGAACAGTTTCAGTGTTAAGATTGGGAACCAAGAGTGGAAGAGTTTGGTTTTGAAAGTGAGGGGGAATACGTAAGACAACATTTTGAAAGCATGACAGGGTCAAATGAAGGTTTGCTGGGAGAGCCCTGGGCATGTTTGCAGGTAGCTGGGAAAGAGCCAGTAGGTAAGGAGAAATTGATGATAAAGAGAGGATTTTCTGGAGGGGCAAACTCCTGGAAGAGTCTGAGGAGAGATGGAATGCTCAGAAATGGCAGCTGTCATGAGATAGGTGTAGAACTACAATGGAATTTCGTTTGCCACAGGGTGGCCAAGGTATTGACTTGCCCTAATTCAGGTGCATGAATTCCTGAATGATCTCTCAAGGTCCCTGCAGACACTTTGTGATTCTAGAGTTAATTAGAGCATGGGAAAACGATATAGGAAATAACTAGTATTTTTATTTAATACAAACTTTAAAATAGTCCTACTTTTCTGCAAGGTAAATTTTTTTTTTGCAAGGTAAATTTTTTAAAAAATTAACAGCATATGTGTTTAGGATATATACATTTTAGCTTTGGCCAAAAATACTAGCTGGTGTATTATGTTTACTCATCATCTCATATTTAAGCTGAATTTATATGATGATGATGTTTTTTTTTCTGATTTCTGCTTTATTGAAGGGAATTTTCCACACTCTTGATGGTGTCATTGTAAATCATCCTCCCATTCTGCCTTATTTCCTCTAGAAATCAATATGGATCAAAGGGAGAAAATTATGTGGTTACATTATTTGGTGGGTCACCCTCAGTTTAAGAATGGGTTATGTGGGAAAGGTTTTGGAAAAGTCTGTTGTTTGAAACTCTGAAGGTCTTTTCCTATAGAAATAATGTGGCTTCCTACCATGGGGGGTAGGCTATCAGGTTGGACCATTCGATCCATCCTGTGCTTGAAGTACTAAGTACTAAGGGGATGGGGACTGGAACCATGGTTTCATTGGTTTAGGGAACTGGGTGAGAAGCTCCCTCTACCAAGGCAGTCAGCCCCCCTCTTCTGCAATTTGTATAGCCTTAGAGAGTTGTCTTGAACAGAGGTGTCACCGAATGAAAATGTAATTGGGAAACATTTAACAAAATAACTAAAAATACAATAGAACATGAAGTGTGCTAAGTCAGTATACAGCCTGCAGGGATTTTTATGTACAGTTTAGTGGCCCCTGTTTCCACTGGAGACACGTCTGGCCCAGAGCCCTGAGAGGTTAAGGGCCCAAGGGCCAACGACCTTTAGATGTGGGAGGTAGGACTTAGGCTAGGTCTTCCAGGCTCCAAGGCCAGCTTGAGGCATAATGATCCCTCACCTCCTCTCCCTATACTAATAGTCCCTTAAAATCTAACCACCCTGTGTAGCAGGGTATTTCTCTGGAAGAAATCTTTAGACTTGTGTGTCTGGTTTCCAAATATGTATCTTCACCCTTCTGTAGAGTGGTAGGATTATGTACACAGCTAGAAAGAAGCCTGCCCAAAAGAGGGAGTGGGGATTTCCCCCACTGCAGACCTTGGGCAGTAGTTCCCGTGGTCTGAGGAAGAAGCCACAGCAAGGCAGGGGTGCTGTTATGGGGTGTGAGGGACAGGGACCTGGAAGCTATAAGCTGTCTTGTAAGGCTGGGATTCTCAGGCAAACCCTGCTGGACAGTGCTTTATCCTGGTAGGTCCCTTAGTCAATTCTGTTCTTTTTTCCTCAGTGCCCTGGAAATCGGTCTGCCTACTTCCCTTTCAAATTGCTAAGGCCTATCACTTCTGACCAAGATTTCTCACAGAAGTTAGCCTTATAATCTTTTGGAGGTTTTCAGGGGTTTCCAACAAAGGGGACCCAGGAAGTATAAAATTCCCTTCTGTATTCCTCCCAAATCATACTTAATGCCTTCTCTTTTTTTGCATAGAACATAATAAAAAGGATACGCCAAGTGGAACATAGGTTAATAAATGGTGGGGCTTTTGTAAATTATGAACTGAATGAAATAAGATTTTTCTGCGCTCTAGAGGAAAACCATATTTGGGAGTTAGGGTAGACAAGGGTTCAGAGGTAAGGAACAGGCTGGCACTCTGGCTGGGGGGGTGACAACAGAATGGAGCCTGTCTGTGCTGCCACTTGGGGCCAGGGGGCACTTGGGATTTGAGGGGGGCAGTCTGGAAGGAAGAACAGCTCTCAAGGCTCACTCTCCCCTTCCAAACTCTCAACGCCACCAGCTTTACCATTGCAGATCCTGTCCAGAACTGGCTCTAGAACTAGTGATAATTGATGATAATGTGGGGCGGGTTTCTAGATAGAGTAAGGAGAGTAGAGGAGTAAAATTTCACGTGGCTGCAATGATGACTGCCTGTAACCTCTGTACCCTAATTGTTAATGAGGAACTTACCCTCCAGACAGTACTGAGAATGATAAGTCCTTCCTGAATATCCTCTACACTTCTTCAGTGAGTCCTCCATCTCAGGATGTACATTCATTTCACAGTCTAATTTCTGTAGTCACTTCTCTGCACCCAGGAGGGCCTGTTGCAGGCTAGTGTCCCTACATTTTAATCTCTCCACCTTTTTCTGTCTGTGTTTTCACCCTTTTCAGGAAGAAGAGGAGATTGAAATGGCTGTGGTCTACTTACAAAAGTTACTTCGTGGCCGAGTCATCCAGAACATGGTACTTGATCTCCCTTGCTCTCCTACTAATATCCTTTACCAGCTGCAGTGTGGTTTGATTTCAGTCAGTGAAATCTTCATCTTGAACTTTACTCCCGACTGACTTCTTTTTAAAACAGAATGCCTCCATTTTCCCAAGTTTGAACCAATCACCCAATTGTTCTGATGGGAAGCTAGTTCTGCTGGTGTGTTCTCACTGCCATTGCCCTAGCTGGGCGTCACAGCAGAAAGGGAAGGAGGGCCATTATGACGGTGGCAGCAAGATAGCCTTTCCTTTTTCAGAAATGCCGAATGAAAGACTTTCCTTCAACTGGGAATCTACATAAATGGGTATATAACAGCAACATAAACTGAGTTTATTTCCTAACTTTTCAAATCCCTGTTTCGGAATTCTGTTGTCTGATTTTCCATAAAGCAAGGGATGCCTGTATTCTAAAAGTGAGAACAAAAGTAGCTGAAGAACCCTCAAGGCCATTAGATGGCCTCATTCCAAAAATGGTTGGAAACTTCTTTTGTCACACCTTCTTTGGGGACCAGGTGAGCAGGAAGCATGCTGGCCTGTTAATGTATTACTAATACATCCTGAGGAGGCTGCCCTTCTGAGTATAGACAGGAGAACGTGTGTTGCAGACTGGTAGAGGCAGCCTTAGAAAATAAATGAGGACAATGTGGTTCAGAAAAGGAGGCACTCATTTTTCAAAGGGCAGAGAAGAAAAAGAAGCTTTGAAGGTTTTCTTTTGAGATGGGGTGGGGAAGAGAGGCTGTTGCCTTAGTTAGCCCAGTCTCATGTTATAAAAAGGAAGAGAGGAGATTTGGAACAAAAACAACGAAGCCCATCTTTATGTCCAGGACCCACCACTGGGCAGTCCTTATTTAAGGAGGGATTAGGAGTCTGTAAAATTCAGATAGCTTTTGGCAGGATCCCACTCTCCCACTGTAGAGCATCGTGGGCCATAACCCCAGACAAACACGTCTGTCTGGGAAAGGTCTCCTTCCCTCCCTCCCTCCTCATCACAATGCACCATGAAGAAACAAATGGAGATTTCCAGGCTGAAGCCCAGGCACCACGCAGTGGTGTCATTTCTCCTAGCCTCGGCTGTTCTTTTATGCCACATCACCCATCCCACTCCCCCACGACATCTGGCTCAGCACAATCACCATCCCCATTCCCACTCTTTGAATCTCCTAAATCCCCTGGCAGACATGCTTATGCACCCAGCCTCCCGCTCCCTTTATTTGTCCACCACAGCCCTGGCAAAGGAGCGGCATTTCAGGGAAATCTGTGGGCTGCACACAGTCTCTACCTCCTGTCTCATCTTCTACTTCCAGGCTTCCTTTGAGCTCATTCTCCTTGTTCTACCTGTATACTTCTTAAAAATCAGCTATAAAGTATGTTTGTTCAGTTGGATACTATAGTTTTAAGGCAAGGAGAGCACACTTGTGTATATTTTTCCCAAGATCAGTGAGTCACTTGATAGAATTGTCAAGGTAGGCCAGTTACGCTAACCACTTGTGCAGCATTAGAGACGCTGCAGGAGAGAATGTTCTTTTTTCAGTATGTTTTCTTAAGGGCATATCCTAGCATTTGGCCTCCATTGAACTTAACAGTACAGGTGTGCTAGTTGATTCCCAGTCTTTGAGAAGTTCCAGGTGTTCCACAGGCAGATTCCTGCACGGGCTGATGGCTCCTAGCAGCTTCAGCGCACTTGGGGTCGGGGCCTCGTGACAGCACAGTCGCCCCGGCTGCTTCTTGGGGAAACACATTGTTTCACTCACATGAACTGGGGGCAGTGTGGGTAGGAGTTACCTAGGCTAAGTAGTTCCAAGCATTTTAAGACAAACCTCAATGCGTAGAACAAAGCTCTGTCTGTTCTCAGAACTCCTGAATCACACCTCCTCTGTTTGCTCTGTTTAAGATGTTTGAAGGAAAAGAAAAGCGCTTAGAGTTGATCAATGAACTGCGGACCAGCCATTGGCTTCAGGAAGATGGCAGACTGGTGAAGAAAATGGAGAAGCAAGTGACGCTGGCCCTGCAGCGGCAGCGCAACTTGCACGAGGAGAAGGTCTGTTCATCTGTTTGAAAAGGGCGCAATCAGATGTTTCCGTTCTTATTTTAAAGTTGTGAGCGGACACTCCTGCCTGCTGTGAGGATAGCATGCCTGGATAGAGGTCTGGGCTGTAGGCTACAGTGTGGTTTAGTGAGAAGAACACCACCGGGCCGGGCTGAGGAGCTCCAGGCTCGTGTTCTGCTGGTTAGTCACGTGGCCTTGGAGAAGCCACTTGTGCTCTATGGGCCTCAGTCTCCTTATCATTAAAATCAAGGACTTTGCAGTCAGTCTTTCCAAGATCCCTCCCAGCTCTAACATTTTGTGTTCTTAAAGGCATCTGGCACAGATTTAGTAACATGCATGATTTCTGCTTGCTACATTTTATTGGGCATCAGTGGTATTCAGTATGGATGAGCTATAATTAGTTCTATTAGTTTTATTTAACAATCATGCCACAGGTCATGATTTCCTGAAGTGACAGCATAATCACTCTGCTCAAGGGATCTGGTAGTCAGCGTCCCAGGAGGAACAGCAAGGCAGAGAAGGGGTTGTCAGGGTCCACTTTTTGTACAGCAGTGGAATTAGATACCAGCCTCATCGTAGGAGGCACCCATAGCTGTGCAGTGGGTAGGGCTTCCAGGTACCAACCCAGCCATGGAAGGCAGAAGCCTGGGGTGGGGGCGGTGTTTGATTCTGCCAAAGAGAGTGGCTTCAGCCAAGGAGGAGGGACTTCATTCAGTATGTAGGGCAAGGGGGCATTGTCTCTGTTATGGGGTATGGAGGTGACCACGCCCCCACTGTGAAGAAGGCAGTGTCGGGAACTGCCAAACCAAGGAACCAACACGTAGGCATGACAACCGCCCAGCCAGCTGCTGGGAAGCATTGCTTCTAACGTCCCCTCAGAGCCAGTAATTGAAAGCAGGACTGTGCTGTATAAGATGTTATCAAGGCCCTTCTGAGCTTAGGACCAACCATCTTGGGTGGCTCTGAGGAAGATAAAGCTAGCATCAAGAACCACTGACGTGGAATATTTGTGGTCCATGAGGGGCTCATGTGCATAGAGTAGTCTGGGCTTTCAGTGCCATTTGTTTTTGTGCATGAATGTACAGAGACTCTGCCATTTCCTAGAATTGTGTGAAAATGTCAGGTATTTTGAAACAAATCAATATTTTGCCTTACACTGAAGGAAATCATATTTGATTAAGGCTTTGCTGAATTCTTAGAAAAATCCCAGCCTGCTTGATTCCTGCCTTCAAGCCTGAAACAGCACTGGAAATTCACCTATCTCATTCTCTAGTACAATAGTGTGACTAGAGATACTCTTAATAAGGATGCTTGAAATGAGGTCTTGTCTAGAAATTGTATGAATAATTTCATATTAAAAATAAATCAGGGTCAAAAAGTGACCAGGCAGACAGGAGTGTTACTGCTCTGACATGTTCCAGCACTGCAGTTCTCTGCAGTGATAGACAGACTATGTAAGATTACTTTTTAAAAATTGTCTTTCAGATGGCAATGATTGAAAATCACTTGGGTGGCCTGGAAGGAAGGGTCTTAACAGAGATGTTTGACTTCCTCTCCAAAGAACTCATCCGACTACAAGAGGAAAGGAGGATCCATGCCTTCGCCATGCTGGCGGAGAGGCAGCGTCGGATTCGAGAGGCAGAGGAGAGTGGCCGTCGCCAGGTGGAGCAGAGGCGTCAGCGTGAAGAGGATGAGATATTTAAGGAGGTGAGTAGAAGGAGGGTGCCAAGCCAGATCAACAGAAACTGACAACCCAGAACAGAGTGAGGTTATCTCTTTGACTGCTCAGACAACAAGGAATGCTGCTTTACTCATCTGAGTATAGTGGGATGGGAAAGAAGCTCCTCTTAGCAAAATGGTCATTATGCCCTTTCAAATTAATGAGTGATTGTCTGAACTACAGACCTCATTCATGAAAGACGTAGCTGATACACCGTGCCATTCACTATCATGGATAGAGAAGTAAACAACTTTTATCCAGTGTGAATATCACAATCAATATGCCCCTTTCATTTTAATATGTTAAGTTGAGTCATTTGGGGACATTTACGTAATCTCTCCCTACATGCCACAATGTATTGAAATTTGAGTTGACAATTTGAAAACTTGTATCAAATGCCATTTTATTTCAAAGTGGCAGACTAAGCCAGAAACCCAGCTTAAAGCATGTCTTTATATCCTCCAGTAATTATCACATTTGACCAAAATCAGTCAAGTATATCCAGAATTGTCATGGAATAGACAAATAAGAACTGCTGAGTAGTTAAATAAAAGAGAAATCACTTGAGTCAGTAGTAGGACAGGTTGTTTGAATATGGACCAAGTACAGACAAATGAATATTTGCCGTTAAATGCTTCTTAAAACCTCTCCTAGAGATAGGAAAGTCTCTAGGATTAAAATGTTAATTAGCTTCATTAATGAAGCAAGTTTCAGGCACTTCCACTTAAAATTAACTTTGAAGGGGTACTGTGGTTCAGTGGAAAGAGCACTGAATTTAGAATCAGAAGACCCGTGTTCAAATCCTGCCTTGGTCACTTACCCATGTAATCGTGGGCAAGTGTTTTAACCACGTTGGGCCTCTGTTTCCTTATCTGAAAAAATGAGAGCGTTAAACTAGAGGGCCTCAGAAGTGCCTTCTGGCTGTAATTGTATGAGCCTGTGAGGTCCAAAGACATGGGTTCTCTTTCTGTTTCATCAGGCTATGCCATTTAGGCACTTTAATTCATTCATTAAGTGTCAAATAACTACTATGTGCAGAAGAAATATGAAAGTGTTTGTCATCAGTTAGGAAAGCAGGATGTCCTCTGCCCTCATGGAGGTCATTCTCACTGAGGGAAGCAACGCATAAAGGAAAGTCTGTTGCAGAGTGGATGGAAAGACCCAGTGGTCCTGTGGATGCAGTATTAGAGTAGAGAAGTCAGCCCCCAGGGTCCTCCATCCGACCATCAAGATTCTGTAGTCGATAATTCCTTGCTGATTGGAGTAATGTGAGTGACTGTGTCTGCCTTGTAGTCAAGGGGATTGGGCCCACAACCACCAGGAAAGGACAGCCCAAGGGCAGAAGTGGAGCATGCACTTCATGCGCTCCCCATGGGGGTGGGGATGAGGAATAGCATGTGGAAGCAGCTGGCGACTCGAATCTAGAGCGAAGGCAGGTCCAGCCCCAAAGCTGATGGTAGATCTTCATACTGATATTCAAACCTAAACTTAACCCACTGCCTATGTTCATTTTCTCGGCAGAAATAGCATTATTTTCCCATTTCCCACCTTGGTAGATAGAATAGAATCATGTCCATTTGCATATTAGAAGACTTAAGTAGTATTCTGTTATCCAGTTACTGTCTTGTGGGTGTTTTGTCTTGATTTTGCTATTTGAGTTGTGACTCCTGCATGGCCTGAGAGTCGGAAGCAAGGCACTGCTGGGAGTTCAAGCAGTGATTTGCATAACTGCCATCCTAAAATTCCTTATACTGAACCTGGGCAGTAGTTTAGGGGTCCCTGAGTCATCATGAAAATAGCTTTGATCTTGGGGATGCCCGGGTGCCCCTGGACCACACTTTAAGAACCACTGGGTTATCCTAAGCTACTCTAATATTTTATGCCTACACACTATACTTCCATGGCACTCCAGCCCATATGTCTAAATCTCAGGATGGCTTTTCAAGGTTCATAGAACCACCACAGGGCTCAGAGTCTGGAATAGATGATTTTAGGTAGTGACCAGCTAATAGTCTAGGTTAACTTTCAGGAGTGAAGGTCATGGGTCCTCTCCCTATGGTGATGCTTCATAATAGTGTTGAGTCTGCCCTGGGTTCTTAAGAGCTGCACAGCCAAATATAAGCTACAGACAGGCATTGTGTACAGTCTTGGTTACAAGTTATGTCTGTTTTCTAAGGACCAGCCTTGCTGATTTCTGATAGACCAGGAGGCTGGCTGCCTAGTGAGGAACTCTTTGGCCCTTCAGACCGATAAGACAAAAAGAAAAAAATACAAAATGATCTTCAGTGCTGACCACCCTTCCTCTTCCCCTTTTGTGGTAATGTGGCAAAGTAGTGGGAACAGTGCAAGAGGGTGCTAAGAATCACATGGTGCTAAGAGAACATCCATGAACATTAATTTACCTTTTGCTATATACTCTACATATGAGATCCTTAAATACCTACTATGTGCTGTGATAGTGACCTGGGCACTACAGATACAAATATGAGAATAAAGAGTCTCTGAGCTTGAGGAACTGATATTCTCCTGAGTCAAGAGTAGAGGGAGAGGAGAACAGAACACGTGATGATGTGATGCAGTAGAAAGAGCCTGAGATTTGGAGTCACAAATTTTTAAGTTCAACCATTTAGGAGAAAAATTTGGAACTATACCCAAAGGACTATAAAACTGTGCATACCCTTTGACCTTTTGTTTAGGAAGTCTACCTGCCAAAGAGATCAAAGAAAAACAGAAAGGACTTATATGTACAAAAATACTTAAAACGGTACATTTGTGGTGGCAAAGAATTAGAAACTGAGGGGATGCCCCTCAATCAGGGAATGGATGGATAAGTTGTGGTATATGAGTGTAATGGAATACTGTTGTGCTATAAGAAATGATGAACAGGCTGACTTCAGAAAAACCTGGAAAGACTTTATGGACTGATACTGAGTGAAGGGAGCAGAACCAGGAGAACGTTGTACACAGTAACAGCCATGTTGCAATGATAATCAGCTGTGAAAGACCTAGCTGCTCTGATCCAAACAATCATCCAGGATAATTCCAAATGAATCAGGATGAAAAATGTTACCCCCTTCAGAGAGAGAAGGGATGAACTCTGAGTGCAGGTCAAAGCATGTTGTTTTTCACTTTCTTTATTTTCTTTGCTTTTTTATGACATGGATAATACAGAAATGTTTTGTATGATTTCACATGTATAATGGGAAATATGCCATTCCTTCTCAGTAGGTGGAGGAGGGGCCAGAGGGAAGGAGAGAATTTGGAACTGAAAATATTAAAATTAATGTTAAAACATTTTTTTAATTTCAAATTTTAGTTCTGCCAGTTGTTACCTTGGTGACCTCAGGCAAGTCCCTTAACCTCTTTGGGCCTTGTGATTTCTAAAGATAAGGACTAGCTCTAAATTCTCAGTACTATGTTAAGTAAGTTCAAGATAATTTCAGGAGAGAAAAGAACACTAAAGTTGGATCAGAAAAGGGCTTCCTGTCACTTAACCCCAATTGCCTCACTTAAAAAAGAAAGAAAGAAAAGAGAAGACAAGACTTCCTACAGGAGATGGCACCAAAACTGAGCCTTGAATGAATGTAGGAACTGGGAGGAGTGGAAATGAATTAGGAATGCCCTCTGGGCCCAGCAATAGCTTTGTGCAAAGAAAGGCGTGGAGATGGGAAAAGGAACAGCTTGCAATACAGTCTGTTTGAAAATGATGCCTGGTGTGTAAAGGGAGGTAATAGGAAGAGGGACTGGAAATGTAGGTGAGAGCCAGATGTGGGAGGCTTCCAGATACTGTTCTGAGTCCCTCTTTTATTCTAGAAGCATTTGGAGCCACTGAAGATTTTTGAGCATGGGAGTGACATGGTTAGACCTATATTTTCAGGACATTAATTTGATGCTTCACAGCTCATAAAAACAAGGATGCAGTCAGCTGATTAGTGCCTGTCATAAAGGAAGTATCAGGTAGTTTGCATGGTGTGTGTGGGAAATTTGGGGTTGTTAGATGGAGAGGCAGATAGTAGATAGAATAGAAAGGAAAGCAAATAGGGGGTTTTGAGAAATAACAAGTAGGTGGGAACCAGGATGATTGGTCAGTAAAGAGAGATGAGAAGATGTTAGAAATGTTTCTGGACAAGAAACAACAACGAAACCCTAATACCATACAATAAGAGAAGAATCAGATCATGCCACTTGACCTAGAGATCCTATTGCTGAGGTTATATCACAAAATATCATTAAAAAAGAATGAATTACTTTTAATTTATCTAATTTTTTTTTTTGGTGAGGCAGTTGGGTTTAAGTGATTTGCCCAGAGTCACACAGCTAATAAGTGTTATAAGTCTGAGGCCAGATTTGAACTTAGATCCTCCAGACTCCAGGACCGGTGCTCTATCAACTGTGCCACCTAGCTGCCCCCAAGAATGATTTTTATACTAAAATATTTTTAGATTCTAAGTTTGTAATAGCGAAAAACAATTTATATGACTAATTGGTAGGGAATGGTTGAATAAAGTATGGTATATCTGTGTAATTGAATATTTTGATTTTAAAAAACAACAAGTATATAATATTAAGAAATGCAGTAAAGTTTGTACAAAATCATACAAAATGAGGCTCTATAAGGAATAAGAATAACTTGCACATTGACCAAAATTACATTAAAAAGGGAAGGCAACAGATCTGTATAAGAACACAGGAAGATTCAGAAGAGGTCAAAGCAAACGTGTTGTTTTTGTTAAAAATTTAAATGAATTTTATATTAAAGAGAAACTTTCTAAAATAATGCAAACTTTTTAAAATTTAGAGTTTTATTTGGAGAGTTACTCAATATTTGGTTTAGTTTTTTAATCAGCATTTATTGTGAGTTCTTAATTTATCATACATTTGTTAAATGCCAGCAGTATGCATTAGGCCTAAAGCTGAGATGGATATGTCTTGAACTACCCAGCCATCACTTTTGTGGTGTAACTGTGCAGCATATTTTATGTTTGGTACAGGTGATTAAAATTCACCAGAGTACCGTTACCTCCTATCTGGAAGACATCATACTAAATACAGAGGAAAGCACAGCAGAAGAACAAGCCCGGGAAGAAATTCAGAAGATGGCTAAGGAAATCAATGACCTCGCTTACGAAATAGAAGATCGGTATGTACTCAGAGAACAAGTCTGTTCATTGCCAGCCTGAAGTGTTGTTCAGTGATCTAGGTCTTCACAATGCAGGACTAGCTAGCCGCAGGTCTTTGTATGTTTTGCTTTCTTTTCTGCTATATCAAAGCATGAAGAAAATGAGACTAGTGACAGCATTTCAGATAGCACTAGAGGCCTATTCCGCAGTTTTAGACATTCATGACCCAAGCCCTGTCCCTTGCAGCCCTTTTCCCGGTAGAGGCGTTGACTCAAACAGAACCAGTCGCCTGCTATCCGCTCTGGATTGTGTATTTCACAGAACTCTCTCCGTGGAGACCCATTCAAATGCAGGTTGTCACCCACAGCGGGAGGGTCTTAGTGTAAGAAGGACCTTAAAGATAGCAGGCAACATTTTGATCCACTTGCCTTTGTTTCTCACTTAGTCGAACTCGTCTTCAGTCAGAAGAGATTGTTGCGGAGCTGGTTTACAGTTTCCTGATTCCAGAAGTGCAGAAGACGTTTGTGAAGGAGAAAGGTAAGGTAGTGGAAATGCCTCATTTCTACTTTTATTCTAAAAATTCTATTCTGTTTTGTTAAAATGACAGAGATGGACATCAGGGCAGGCTATATCTCTGAGAATAACTGTTCTTGGCTACCAGCAGTACTCATATTCAGCAATAACAAATCTGATAATAATAACAACAATAATAGCTAAGATCTACACATAGCACTTACTATGTGCCAGGCACGATGCTAAGCACTTTACAATTATTATCTCATTTTATCCTCACAACAATCCTGGGAGGTAGATTCTATTATGATCCTCATTTTATAGATGAGGAAAAACAGTTAAGTGACTTGCCCAGGGTCACACAGCTAGTGAGTGTTCTGTGTCTGAGGCTGGATTTGAACTCAGGTCCTCCTGACTCCAGGGCCAGTGCTCTATCCACTGTGCCACCTAGCTGCCTCTACCATGTCAGATTTTAACCAGGAATATCTTACTGCACATGATATTGGACTCAACTATCGTCACAGCAGAAACAGCAATGTGGAAGACACAGCAGAAAGGGCTTATGTCCAAATCTATCTAGTGTTTGTTTTTTAAATACTAACATAAGCACATGTCTCCTAGGCCAGAGTGTAAGCTCCTTAAGGGCAAGAACTCTTTCCACCACTTTTGTCTTTGTATCCACAGTACCTGGCATAGGGCCAGGTATTATGCACCTAGTGAGTGCATAACAAATGCTTACTAATTCAATGGATGTACACATTTTTAAAACAAAAACATTTTCACAGCTATCTTTTCTAAATACCATTTGAAGTGTTATTGCAGAATAAATTTTCTGAGTAATTTCTTTCCTTTTGCTCCAGTGAGGAATTTACAAAGGAAGCACATTCTTGCAGCTCACCAGATCATCCACCAGAGTGCTGAAAAAGTCATCAATCAAACTGAGGAAACCCCGCAGCCCAGGCAGAGACCAGTCACGGAGATTGACAAGATGTTTGCCCGATTAAAAGCCAAAAAAGACGAAAAGTCTGACTGAGGTGAGTTTGACTTCCTGTGGTTTGCTTCTTAACACCTGTCGTGTAGCCAGAAGTAACCTGTGGAATACAAAGAACCCTGTGCAAATGATTACGTCTTTTATGTTCAATGAAGGCAAAAGATGGTTCCTCTCTACGGGTTCTCTCGCCCTTAGAGGAGCTATAGAGGTTGTCATCAGCCCAAGGACAGGACACAGGGCGCCGTGACTGAAAAGAATGATAGTTAGTAATGGGTTTGGTGTTTACACTGGGCTGAGAATTGTTGTTTTCAGACTATCCTGAACTTCCCCTTCTAGTAGAGAGAGAAAGGGAAGAAAATAGAATGACTTGTTAGTGAGGCCTGGCATCTGGCTACTAGGAAGGGATCAGAAAGAAAGGACTGAATGAAAAGGCACTTATTGAACTCTGACTCTTTAGTTTTTTATCAGGAGAGCACTGACCAGTTAGGACATGAGACACGGGATGGAGGAGTGTCCTCTGTGAGGAACAGCAGGAAAGTCAACATGGCTCGACCTAGTGTGTGTGGAAGGGAATGGTGTATGGTGGGGTAGAAAGGTTGGTGGAATCCAGGTTTTTATAAAGCCAAACAGAGGAATTTATACTTTAACTTAAAACAAGGGTTCTTAACAACTAGGGCCTATGAACTTGTTTTTTGAATCTCATGGTAACTGTATTTCAGTATAATTGGTTTCCTTGGTCATCCTGGATATTTTGTTTTATGCCTTTAGATACATGATTCTAAGAAGGGGTCCCTAGGCTTCCAGCCTGCCGAAGGGCTCCATGACACAACAAAGGTGAAAAGCCCCAGACCTAGAGGTTGAGGAGACTCAGGAGTCTGTTGTGACGTGGTCACACCCGTGCTTTAGGAATATCAGTTTGGCAGCCTCGGTGCAAGACGGATTAGAGTGGGGAAAGTTCTAAGACTGGGAGAGTTATTAGGAGGCTGTTGTAATGATACTAATACTAACAATGTATATTTCTCTTTAAGGTTTGCAAAGTGCTGTGCATATGTAATCTCATGGTAGGCGCTATTATTTTCCCCATTTCACAGAGAAGGAAACTGAGGGTGAAAGAGGTCATATGACTTGCTCAGGGTCACACAGCTGATATGTGTCTGAGGAAGGATTTGAACCCAGGCCTTCTTGACTCTAGGGCCGTTCCACCACCCCTCAAGAGGTGATGAGGGCCTGAACTCAGGTGATGGCTCGGCAAGTGGAGAAAAGGAGGCATAGTGGAGAAATGTCAAGGGGATAGAATCAGCTAGAGGTGGTGGCAACTGATTGGAAATGTGGGCTAAAAGAGATGACTGACATTGTGAGCCCAGATCTTTAGAAGGATGAAGGGTGACGGTGTTCTCAGTAGAAACAGAAAAGTCAGGAAGAGGGAAAGATCAGAAGCTTTGCTTTGGACAAAATGAGTGTGAGATGCCTGAGAGACATCCAATTTGAAGGGCCCACTAAGGACGTGGTAACTGGAACCAGAGATTGGGAGAAAACCCTGGGGCTCGAGTCTAGTCAGGAACCAAGAGCCACAGAGTTAACCTCACTTGTTGAATCCGCACAGCAGGGACTACAGCAATCAGGACAGCCTAGTTGAGTCTGTCCACTCAACAAGTCCTTTCTTCACTTAACTCTTCATAAAGCAAGTATGAAACAAGCACTAGACCTAAAGGTGGGATCAGTCTTGGGTGGGTGTGGGCTCACTGAGGGGCCTCACAGTGGTGGGAAGAACAAGGTCAAGGCAGAGGGTAGGGTTAACATCCACCACACAATGGTTCGGTTGATGAAAGTGTGTTCCAGTTTCCACAAATACTGTATGTTACATTATATATACTGTGTGAGAAATTAGCCTAGTGTGGTAGACAGACTTGGATTCAGGACAGGCCTGGGTTCAGATCCACCTCTGACACTTCTTGGTTGTGTGATCATGAGTAAGTCACCCACCCCATCAAATGAAAGAATATGTCAAGTGCTTTGCAGACCTTACAGCACTATATAAATGTTAGCTATTGATTTATTTAGGCCCTCAGCCTCCATGACCTCCTTTGTGAAATAGAGATAATAATGCCTTTTAGAGTACCCTCACAGAGCTGTTGTGAAGGGAAAATGAGGTAGTATCCATAAACTGCCATATAAATATCAGTTATTCTTAAATTGCTTTATGTGATGGCTTGAAAGGACTTCTCTGTATTGTCTTCCAATTTGTGGAAGTAATGGTGATTGTGTCAAGTGATTGACTTCACCTCTTATTTTGTTCTAATCACTATTTCTCAGTTTAGGGTGATTCCACAGGGATAGCGATTATTTTTGTTGTATTTGCCTATTAATATACATTTAGTCAGTCTGTTCATCAATATTAGTACACATTTTATATATCTTATATTTAGGGACAATTAGATAAGGTTAGGTAGGTTCTTTTTTATATTAGGCCCCCAAACTTTAAACTGCAAGTTATAAGTTCCCTTGCTTGTTATAAAGTTAACTTGCTTAACCACAGGAAGCTAACTAGAGGACCTCCACCTACTTATTCCCTGCTGTGTAAGTGACCAAGGTCAGCATGGTGATGACCTAATGATATGGAAAATCCTCCAGCTTATTTTTGTCTGTCTGTCTTTCAGTGTCCCTCTCTGTTGTTTAACATGGGGGAACGGCTATGTGCCCTTGGCCAACGAGTTAACCTGTCTACTGGCCCTCTTTGGCCCTCTTGTAGGGGTCAAGGTATAGATCTGTCAACCAATGAAATACTGTATTTTACTTTTTGTCATCTCTGTATCCTCTTATCAAATGCTATAAAACCAAGGCCCTGGAGAGAGGGGACAGCTCAGATCATGAGGAAGATCTGAGGTCTTGTTCATTAAAGGGAGCTAGGTCCCTTTAATGAGCGGTTATTGGCTCAGAGCTCTGCCTCAGTGGGTTTTCTTGCATACTGGATGTTTTGGGGTCCGTATGATGCCTCTGACCAAGTACCAACCGCATCAAGTAGGACTAAGGCGTACTGTATTAGAAGGGTTCAGAACTAGCATTGATCTGTCAGCTTGAAGGTTACAGGGTGAGCAAGCCTCACTGTAATGGCTTCCATACTGGGCCTTCCATTCTATGTCAAGTATAAAGAAATGAACCCGGCACTATCCAGAAGACAAAGACAGCTATTTGCTTAAAGGTTTTTATGGTAGTAGTATTTATAATTGCGGAAAACTGGAATCAGCCTAAATATCCAGTAACAGGGGAATGGTTTAATAAATCATGGTACCCTAATGTAATGGAATTCTCTAGTGTAATTTATGCCAACCAGTGTAAGGAATGCCAAGAAACCTGGAAGGACCTTTTTGAGATCAAGCAAAGTGGAGAAAACAAACAAAAAACAGCAGCCTGAAGAACAGAGTGCTATTCATGCTAGCTACAACCATTAAAAAAAGGTAATGAACAAGAAAGCCTGATGTAGGGTTGGAGCATTAGTTTTGGAATCAGGAGACCTTTGAGCTTATCCCAGCGTGCCTCTGGACAAGTCACTTAAGCCCGCCTGGTTCCCTCGGTTGCACCATCTGCAAAATGAGGAGGCGGGACCAGATGACCGCTGAGGGCAGAGATCTGTGACCTGTGCGTGGCACGTGTGTAGAGCTAGGAGGAGCTGAAAGTTTTACGGCATTTTGTGCCTTGATATTCATGTAAATGAACACATTTAATTTGTATTGATATTTAATAAGATTTTATCTTTATTTAATTTAGCACCCTGACAATAAAAATTTAAATAAAACCATGATTCATGAATTTGTTGGATGCTGTTTCCTGCTGGTTTCTCTCCAAGCAAATCAGGTTTTCATTATCTTTACTTAGATCTATTTACAGTAAAAATTTCTCTTCTTTTATTTGGTTCAGTTCACCTCAAGACTCATGACTATGCTTGCAGAAAAGTGTTATGTAAACTTCTCAGGCTATAGATGGGGTTACACACCCAAACAATCTTACCGGGCAAGGACTTAATGCTTCCACCTCCCAAGCTGAAGCCACTGAGTCTGACTTTCGTTCTTCTCTTGGAAACATGTCTTCTCTACCTGTATAGGTTATATCTTAATTTACCAAGAAGGCTGCAGCTAGGGAACAAGAGACCAGCCTCTCTCCCCTCCCCCCCCCTTGCCCAACGTGACACCTAAGGCATTCCTGGAATCATAAGAATCAGTGCAACAGATGGGCACTGGACCTCAAATTAGAAAGAGCCCGGTTCCTACCCTGCCTCCAATATTTACAAGCTGAGTAGGCAGCTAGGTGGCACTGTGGATCCAGCGCTGGACCTGGAGTCAGGAAGACCGGAGTCAAACCCAGCCTCATGCACTTCCTAGCTTTGTGACCCTGGGCAAGTCATTTAACCTCCATCGGCTTCAGGTGCTTTGTCTGTAAAATGGGGACAGTAACAGAACCTGTCTCCCAGGATTGTTGGGAGGATAAAATGAGATGATGTTTGCAAAGTGCTTTGTGAACCTTAAAGTACTCTGTGTAAATTAGTAGTGCTATTAGTAGTAGTAGTGGTTGTGTGACTTGGACAAGTCACATCTCTCTGCCTCAGTTCCTCATCTGGGAAATGGTTTGGACTCAAGCTCTTAGTCCCTTCCAGCAATCAATCTACAGTCCTACGATCAGGAGCAATAACTCAAGTAATCAGGTGGTTGCATTTATAAAGAATCAACTAATTATACTGACACTGTTAGAGAGTCCTGAGGAGCCATGTGGTGAGTAGCTCCAGGATGCTTTGTGACTTCAGTTCACTGTGAGAGATGCCCCCACTAGGTGGTTCACTATTCTTCAGAGTTGTGTTCGGACTGCTGGTTAGCTGGTTAGAAATACTGTAATAGCTTGTGATTGCTTATCCCTTACCCATTTTCTTAATACTTATAGTTCTAGTTTCTTCACCAAGCCGACATCTAAGTTTACCCAAATACTTGTCTATAACCCTTTACCTTCATTCTGATATGACCTTAGCTTTCTCCAGAAAAAAGTTTTCTGAAAGACAGCAGCAGAATTTAGCTACTGTTTGCCTTTGGTGTGGCACTGATAAGAATCTGCTAATCTCAGACAAACACACCTCTGAGTCAGACCAGCAGCCTCTGAGATCATGGGGAGATATGGAAAAACTCTAGCAAACAGGTGGGAAAATCTAATTATATTTTAGTGGTTACCAAGTAGCTGGTGCCTCCTAATCCAAAAGATGCCCCCCAAAATAAAATAAAATATAAAATCCTGATTAAGACCTGAGGTCTTGTTCATTAAAGGGGGGCCAGGTCCCTTTAATAAATGGTTATTGGCTTGGAGCTCTGCCTCAGTGGGTTTTCTTGCAGATTAGACAGGATAGTCTTCAAAAGTTTCTGTATGCATGAGATGATTCTCAAAAGATCATTGGTGATCTGAGACAGTAACTTCAATAGAGCAGTGACTGCAGATTTCAGAATCTCAGAAAGTGAATCAGTGATGGGAAAGTGGAAATAGTGGCACAGGTCACTCATTCAAAAAAGTTTGTTAATAAAAGGAAGGAAAAAAATGGGATTAGCAGAGTCAGGTGATTAATACATTTAGTTCCATTTGTAAAAACTGCCAAGAAGAAAACACATTTGGGGCATCTTCATAATGTTTTTTAGTCCATAGATTTGTGTAGTACCTGTGAGAGTCATAAAAACAGAAAAAAAATTAAATATTAAAAAAATTAAATTTGACTCGTGATAACTTCAGAATTCTCACACTGGGTTTAATGATGTATGCATTCTTCTGAGAAATATAAAATGTGGTGGGTAGGACAAATCTGGCAGTGTTTCTAAATGAATACTGAGTTCTGTTATGAATTATTTGAAAATGCAGACTTTCCATGTTTTTTTGTTTTTTGTTGTTTTGTTTTGTTTTTTTTGCTAGGTCACAAATGTTGTACAGAAGATGTACCTATCGGCAAGAAGAATTCCAGCCATCTTTGCTTCTTCCAGGTTTTGTGATACGTGTCAGATTTTGTCAGTATGTGGTTCTTGAGGAAAAGAAGAATGATTTAGGGAGACTTTTATCTTTATTAAACATACAATAATTTCAAATGATTTTTAGTAATAAAGATTAAATGTAGGAACTTAATTTTTTGCCTAGACTTCCTCCAGAGCCACTTAACTGTTGCAAACCCTGGCCTACAGGTCCAAGCCCTAACTCCTTGGCCTTCCTTCATTTAATGCCTTTCACATCCCAGATTAACATACTTTTTTTTATCACTCCTTTTTACTGAAAACTGCACCAAATGCTAAACATCCACCTTTAGATAAACAAACACAAGAACGGCAATACACTAAAACAAAACACGTGGCTGAGACCTATTATTGGTTTTCTGTTTGGGACAATTTTAAAAGACTTCTTTTTTGTCACAGAAACAGGAATATACCTATATGAAGGCTCAGAATAAGCTTTTTAAAACAAAAAGGTAATGATTAATAAATTTTATCAATGTCAAAAAAAATACGTTTTGTTCATAGACTATCTAGAAAAATGGTTTACGATGGAATATCTAGTATTGTTGTGTTGTTTTATCCTCTTAATGTTCTTTGACAGATTTGCTCATTTAATTCTCATAATGTGGGGAAGGAAGGTAGATTAGTCATATGATACCCCCATTTTATAGATGAGAAAACTTGGAACTGATTTTTCTACCACTTAAAAGTGTTTGTGGGAGAAAGATACTTTTGGTACAGGCTACATAAGTGGCTAAAGTGTGAATCTTAGAGTCAGTAAGACCTAGGCTGAGTCTTGCCTCTGATAACATACTAGAAGTATGATCATGGACAAGTACCTTAAGCTCTCCATGCCTCAAGGTCACCATGACTAAAATTTAGAGACTAAATTAGACTAAAAATTAGAGAGAGATTGCATTTCTAGGATACAGAGAGTTCCCATGTGGGAGTTAGCCACCAAGTTGAATTATGAGTCTGGATCCCTCTCACTCCTAAAAACCCTTGAGTTTTAAAGGGAAGTACTATAGAGCAGGTTCCCCAACCTACCACGTAGGAAGCCTGAGTTTAAAATTGAGGGACAAAAGGATTGCAATGTATGTGCTCTATATAGGGCATTAGCATTTCAGGAGGAAGAAGGGGAAGATGCAGCACGAGGTATTGCTAGAAGCTGCTGCTTCTGTTATAAGGTTTGTGAAGGTATTTCAAGTGAGAAGGGAGCTGCAGGCACAGTGGCAGCTTCCAATTGAAAGGCCAGGCCCCACCTTTGCTAGAGATGTCCATGGATATATGCAAACTCTTCCCAGGATTAGTTCTGCACAGTGATAAACTGACCATCAAGATGGGACTGTCCCACTTACCTTCTGCCCCACACCATCATGGATCTTACTATTAATATCAAGGATTCAAACAAATACAAAGAAATCCTCACAAATAACTGGAACCACTCTGCCCAAAAAATGAAGACTTTTTGTTTCCTCCAAGGTACTCATTGCTTACAGCTCAAGTAGCTGCCACTATGAATGGTGGTGAGGGGATTTGGATAAAACAGATGCAATAGTAGTTAGGCTTAATTTGGATGTGGATAAATAGGAAAAGAATGAATATGCTACTTAATATATTAAACTATTTTTCCTTTGAAAACATATGTCTATGTAATTGCTTATCTAACAGTGCAAAAATTGGTTATTTTGATTTTCCAGGAAATGAGCTTTTCAGAGAAGCATTACCTCACAAGATTATTTTTATTTTTTTAATTTTTCTAATTTATTATTTATTCATTTTACATATTCTTTTCTTTTTAAAATTTGAGTTCCAAATTCTCTCTCTCTCATGCCCTTCCCTACCCACTGAGAAAGCAAGCAATATGATATCAGTTATACATGTGAAATCATGCAAAACATAATGCCATATCAGCCATATTTCAAAAAAAAATCAAGAAAAATAAAGTGAGAAAATTATACTTCAATTTGCATTCTGAGTTCATCAGTTCTGTCTCTGGAGGTGGATAGCATTTTTTCATCATGAGTCCTTTGGAATTGTCTTGGATCATTGTATTAATCAGAGTAGCCAAGTCTTTTACAATTGATCATCATTACCACATTGCCGTTACTGTGCACAATGATCTCCTGGTTCTCACTTCACTTTGCATCAGTTCATATTGGTCTTGCCATGTATTTCTGAAACCAGCCCCCTTATCATTTCCCATAGCACAATAGTATTCCATCACAATCATATGCCACAACCTGTCTAGCCATTCCCAAATTGATGAGTATCCCCTCAGTTTCCAATTCTTTGCCACCACATAAAGAGGTGCTATAAATGTGTTTTTGTGTATATATAGGTCCTTTTCCTTTTTATTTGATCTCTTTGGAATATAGGCCTAGTAGTGGTATTGCTGGATCAAAAGATACACAGTTTTATAGCCCTTTGGGCCTAGTTCCAAATTGTTCTCCAGAATGGGTTGGACTGGTTCGCTACTCCACCAACAGTTCATTGGTATGCCTGTTTTCCCCTCATCCTCTGCAGGATGTCATTTCTGATAAATATGAGGTAGTACCTCAGAGTTGTTTTAATATACCTTTCTCTAATCAGTAGTGATTTAGAGCATTTTTCATGGCTGGAGATAGCTTTGATTTCTTCTAATGGAAACTGTCTGTTTATATTCTTTGACCACTTATCAATTGGGGAATGGCTTTTGGTTTTTATAAATTTGACTCAGTTCTATACTCAGAATATAAATGAAAAATGAAGTTTATAGAGAAACTTTCTGTAAAAATTTGTGATATTATTTCATTGGCTATGGTACCTTTTAGCAAAACGTCATTTCCCATATTATTCCTTTTAATTCGGAATATTTTTTGCTTTTGCTTTGTTTGAGATCATGATTGCTACCCTGCCTTTCTTTCAGTTCAGCTGAAGCATATTAGATTCTGCTCCAGCTTTATTTTCACTCTGTGTATGTGTCTTTCTGTTTCAAGTATGTCTCTCATAAACAACATATTATTGGATTCTAGTTTCTAATCCATTTTGCTACCTGCTTCTGTTTTATGGGTAGACTCATCCCATTCACATTCACAATTATGAATACTAACTATGTATTTCCCTCTATTCCTATTATCTTCTGTTTCTTCCTCCCTCCCCCACCTCTTTCTCTTTATCCAGTCCCTCCTCAAAAATCTGTTTTGCTTCTAATCACTACCTCACTTAATCTGTCCTCCCTTTTATCATCTCTACCTTTCTTCTATCCCCTTCCCCTCCTCTTTCCATATTAGGTAAGTTACATTTCTATACCCAGCTGAGTGTGTATAAATATACTTCTTCCCTCTTTGAACCAATCCTGATGAGAGTGAGGTTCAAGCATTGCCCTCTACCCCTCCCAATTTTCCTCTCCACTGTAAAAGCTCTTCCTTGTGTTCCTTTTTCATATGAGAAAATTTTCCCTATTCTACCTCTCCCTCCCCCTTCTTCCAGTGCATCCCTCTTTCACACCCCTATTTGTTTTGGAGATCATTCCAACATAATCCACTCATACCCAAACCCTCTGTCTATGTAAACTCTTTTTAACTGCCAGAATAATGACAAAGTTCTTAGGAGTTATAAGAATCACCTTCCTATGTAGGAATACAAACAACTTAACCTTTTTGACCTGGAACTCCTGGAAGTTTTCATTTTGAGATCTCTTTCAGGAGGTGATCAATGGATTCTTTCAATGTCTATTTTACTTTATGGATCTAAGATATCAGGATGGTTTTTCTTGAAGATTTCTTGAAATGTGATGTCTGTGTTTTCTTTGATAATGGCTTTCAAGTAGTCCAATAATTCTTAAAGTATCTTTCTTATTTAGTCTTCTTAAATTATGTCTCCTTGATCTATTTTCCAGGTCATTTATTTTTCTGATGAGATATTTCACATTTTCTTCTTTTTTTCATTCTTTTGACATTGTTTTATTGTTTCTTGATGTCTTCTACTTGCCCAGTTCTAGTTTTTAAGGAATTATTTTCTTGAGTGAATTTTTGTGCCTCTCTTTGGCCAAATCTGCTTTTTAAGGAGTCCTTTTCTTCAGGGAATTTTTGTACCTTCTTTTCCATTTGTTCAATTCTGCTTTTTAAGGTGCTTTTTGCTTCAGGTGCCTCTTTTACTATTAGGCCAATTCTGTTTTTTAAGGTGTTGTTTCCTTCAGTATTTTTAGTTCCTCTTTTACCAAACTGTTAATTCACTTTTCATAATTTTCTTGTTTTAATCTCATTTCTTTTCTCATTTTTTCCTCTAGTAGTTTTATCTCTTTCTTTAAATCTTCCAGGAGTTTTTGTTAAGCTTGGGTCCAGTTAACTTTTTTTTTTTGAGGCTTTGTTTGTAGCTGTTTTCACATTGTTATCTTCTTCTGAGTTTATGTCTTAGTTTTTCCTGCCACCCTAAGAGCTCTTTTAATTTTTTATTTATTTATTTAGTTTTTTGGCAAGGCAGTTGGGATTAAGTGACTTGCCCAGGGTCACATAGCTAGTAAGTGTCAAGTGTCTGGTCTAAGGCCAGATTTGAACTCAGGTCCTCCTGACTCCAGGGCTGGTGCTCTATCCACTGCGCCACCTAGTTGCCCCCTAATAGTTCTTTATGGTCAGTTTCTTTTTGTTGTTGTTGTTGTTGTTTGTGCATTTTTCCAACCTATTTCTTGAAAACTTTGAACTTTGTGTTACAGTTGGGTACTGCTCACCCAGATGTGGGGAGGCACTGTCCCACACTTCAGGCTTTTTGTGCTGCTGTTTTCAGTGCTAGTTCTGGGGCTCTGAATATATTTGGTGCTTCCAAGGTGGTGTGATCCTGGGAGAGGTATGGTCACTGTTTTCCTGGTCTGCACTCTGGTCTTTAACCAGGAAGGACTCCAGTCCCCTGCAGCCACAAATACTAGCACTCTTTGCCTTGGAACTGCAGCCAGGCTGCCTGCTTCCTTTTGACCAGCTCCTAGTTCTTCTCTTTGTCTGGGAACTGTGACCCAGAACTGCCTATGGGCAACAGAGTTGCCAGTCAGTGCCAGCTGTACCCAGTGCCACCATAGGGTCCCTTGAAATCTCTTTCTAATCAGTTGTCTGACCCCTTTACTATCTCTGGGCTGAGAGTTTTCAGAGCCGTTGCTGCT